GGCAATTACACATATTTTAATCCACTTTATCTTTTAAAAAATTTGTATTGATTGAGATATAATTTACATACAGTAAAATTTACCTTTTATTGTACACGTCTGAGTGTGAAAAATGCACACAATTAAGTAACCACCACCATCGCAGCAATCAAGATATAGAAGAGTTTCTCACCCAAAAAACTCCTTCAAGTCCTTTTGTAGTTGATTCTCTCCGCAACCCCCAACAATGGCAACCACTGATCTGTTTTTGGTTCTATTTTTTTTGTTGTTGTTACTGGCCTCACAGGAGATTACAATCTCTTTTAAAAAAATACTTCTATTAAAAATATAGCTAACATACAATATTATATTCGTTTTAGGTGTAGACCATTTATTCAACATTTATATGCCCAAAGAAGTGAACAGCATGTTAGGTCCAGCAACCACCTGACACTATTCCACACTATCACAATATTAATGACTATATTTTCTATGCTGTACATTACAACCCCATGACTTAATTTATCTGTTTTATATCTGGATTTTGGCCCTCTTATTCTCCTTCACCTTTCCACTCTTTTTAAATTTTTCAATTATGGTTGACATTCAATATTATTTTACATTAATTTCAGCATAGCAGTTAGACATTTGTATAATTTAAGAAGTGGTCCCCCTGACTAGTCTAGTACCCACCTGACACTTTTCTTAGTTATTACCATATTATTGACTATAATCCCTATGCTTTATATCCCCATGATTATTTTGTAACTACCAATTTGTACTTCTTAATCCCTTCATCTTTTTCAACCTGCCCCCCATCTATCACCCCTCTTTCCATCTATCACCATGATAAATCTAGTACCCACGAGACACCATACATAGTTATTACAATATTATTGACTATATTCCTTATGTTATACCCTACATCCCCATCACCACTTTGTAACAACTGATTTGCATTTCTTAATCCCTTCCCCCTTTTCACCCACCACCCCAGCCCCCTCTCACCTGGTAACCGTCAAAATGTTCTCTGTATCCATAAGTTTGTTTCTGTTTTGTAGTTTGTTTATTTTATTTAGATTTCACATACAAATGAAGTCACATTGCATCTGTTTTCTCTGTCTGACATACTCCACTCAGCACAATACCCTCCAGGGCCATCCATGATGCTGCGGATGGCAAGAGCCCTTTCCCTTCCATGGCCGAGCAATATTCCATTGTACACATGAGTGTGTACCACCTCCTCTTTATCCATCCATCTACTGACGGAACCCAGGCTGCCTCTACATCTTTGCCATTGTAAACAAAGCTGTAATGAACATATGGGTGCACATGTCCCCTTGAAGTAGCATTTTGGGTTTCTTTGCATAACACCCTAAAGTGGGATTACTGGATTCTTCTTCGTCTCTTGTTATAACCTTTGTTTTAAAGTCTGTTTTGTCTGGTATAAGTTTTCCTGCCCCAGCTTTTTTGTTTGTTTCCATTTTCATGAAATACATTTTGCCATCCCTTTATTTTCAGTCTGTGCGTGTCTTCCAATCTGAAGTAAGTCTCTTGTAGGCAGCATTGTAAGAGTTTTGTTTTCTTGTCCATCCAGCCACCCTATGTCTCTTGATTGGAGCATCTAATCCATTTACATTGAAAGTAATTGTTGATAGATACGTAGTTATTGACATTTTATTCATATTTTCTCCTCCTCCTCCTCCTCCTTCTTCAAGAAGACGCTCTAACCTTCCTTGTAATACTGATTTGGTGGTGATGAACTCCTTTAGGTTTTTCTTATCTGGAAAGCTCTCTATCTGTCCTTACATTTTAAATGATAGCCTTGCTAGATAGAATACTTTTGGTTGTAGGTCCCTGTTTTTCATCACCTTGAATATTTCCTGACACTTCCTCCAGTTCTGCAAAGTTTCTGTTGAGAAATCAGCTGGCAGTCTTATGGGAGCTCCCTCATAAGCAACTAGGTGCCTTTCTCTTGCTGTTTTGAGGATTCTCTCTTTGTCTTTAACCCTTGCCATTTTAATGGTGTGGGCCTGTTTTGCTTCTTGTTTGGGACTCTCTGCACTTCCTGGGCTTGTATGTCTATTTCCTTCACCAGGTTAGGAAAGTTTTCAGTCATTATTTCTTCAAATAGGTTCTCAATTTCTTGCTTTTTCTCTTTTCCTTCCAGTACCCCTACGATGTGAATGTTGTTACACTTGATGTTGTCCCAGAGGTCTCTTAAACTATCCACATTTTTTTTGTATTCTTTTTTCTTTTTGCTGTTCTGATTGGGTGTTTTCTGCTATTTTGTCTTCCAATTCACTGATTCAATCCTCTGTTTTATCTAGTTTGCTGGTGATTCCTTCTAGTGTATTCTTCATTTCAGTTATTGTATTCTTCACTTCTGACTGGCTCTTTTTTATGGTTTCTATGCCCTTTTTTTATGCTTCCTATCTCTTTGTTAAAGTTCTCACTAAGTTCCTTGATCATCCTTATAACCATTGTTTTAAACTCTGTATCTAGTAGGTTGCTTCCTCCATTTCATTTAGTTCTTCTTCTGGAGTCTTCTCCTGTTCTTTCATTTGGGATGTATTTCTTTGTTTTCCCATTTTGGCTGCCTCTCTGTGTTTGTTACGATGTAGTGGATAGATCTGCTATATCTACCAGTATTGGCTGGATAGCATTATGTTGTAGGTGCCTTGTGGGGCCGAGTGGCACAGTCTCCCTGGTCACCTGTGCCAGGTGCTCCAGGAGTGTCCCTTGCGTGGGTTGTGTGTGCCCTCCTGTTATAGTTGAGCCTTGATTGCTTTGACACAGCAATGGGTGAGACTGGCCCTCAGGCATGTCCACAGCTTACAGCTTGCTATGCAGGAATGGACCCCAATGTAGTGGGATTCACCTTAGCAGGCTCTGGTGCCTGCCAAAACATCCCTTTGTGTGTGCCGCTTGTGGGGTTAATTGGGTGGTGCTCTGCTGTGGTCTGAAGCCAACCTCCAAGTATGTTGGTTCTGGGCTTCATGGGAGGGACTCTGGTACAGGCCCAGGTCACCCACTGCCTGTGACCAGCAGGGGACTACCTAGTAGGAGCTACAAAGTGATCTATGGTTGGTCGCTGCCTGTGCAAAGCCTGGAGGCATGTGGGAGAGGTCACGCTGCAAACCCAGGAATGCTGCCACCAGTACAGGGACTGGGGTAGCTCCACAAAAAGTCAGAACCACCCCCCACTACCCAGGCCTGTTGCCACCTGCCTATTCCCATAAGGTTCAGCTGCTGAAAAAGCCTCATGTGGTCTATGAGTTGGGTGAGGTGGGGTCTCAGGGAGTCACCAAGGTGGAATGACTGTTACCAGATTAATGTAGATTCTGGTCTGGTGCCAGTGCTGAGCCTGGAGCTACTCAGCACAAGTCTCAGAGCCCACAGAGACTAGCCACTGGCTGCCTGGGGCCTGTGAACCCAAGAGCTGTCCAGGAAAGAGTGCAATGTGGGTGGGGCTGGTTGCTCTCCCAGGAAGTGTCTCCAGCTTTGGGTGAGCTAGGTGGGATGGGGTCCTAAGTCACCAGGGTGGAGCAAGTGGAGGTTACTAGTCCAATGCAGATTCAGATTTGGCTGCGTGGGGGGAGAGTTCAACACAGGAAAGATGGCATCTGCCTGCTGGCTGCACAGGAGAAGGACTCCACACAAGGAGCCTTAACACCATAGAGTCCTAAAGTCATCATACTCAACCTAGCTGTTAACAGTGAAAGCGGCCATGCCTCTAGTGATTTGGTCAATGTAAACTTGAAATTTCCAGCTTAAAATGTGAAGGCCCTTTCTCTCCCTTTGATTTTATCTCTTGAGTTTTAGAAATAAATAAGCCTTTCAGGGCAATAATGATCCTTTAAGGAAGCATCTAAATTCCACACACAAAAAATGTGTTTGGAGACTGTGAGATAAATTTATTTTGTCAAAAATTTAAAAATAAATACAAGCAAAATTAATCTATGGTGACACAAATCAGAAAGTGGTTGCTTAAAACTACAGGTTGACTGGGAATGGGCAGGAGAACACTTTCTGGGGTGATGGAAACATTGTACATTTTGATAGAGATGTGATCAAACTATACACTTAAGATCTGTGCATTTCACTGTGTATAGATTATTTCTTTAAAAAATCAACCTAAGCTACTCATGCAGAAAATGCAGATTTTAAGATTCTCATTCAAGGAAGGGACTTGAATTGCAATCCAGCTGGTAAAAGGTAATGACCAAAATTATGGGGAGCCTTCAAAATCATTGCAGCTAAGTGAATTTCTGTTCATCTATTCATGAGACTAATATTCACTGTGCCTGAACTCAGGTACATGGAAAGCAAATAAAGGGTTTCCTTTCAGGCTATGCTGATTAATGGATTCTGCCTTAAATAGGAATGAGAGCATTATTTAAGAACTGTGTACACTACTGTGATAACATATCCACTGCTCTGCATTGTCTACTGAAGTGCATTTAGAATTTAATAGTAGAACTTCCTCCTAAAGACCACAGAGAACTTAAGACCTTTACAGATAAGGAAGGTAGGGTTGCACACAGTGCACTAATTAAGTTTTCATATTTCTATTTTCCGTATTAGTTTCCTATAAAAACCTGAGTGTGTATGACCTTCTGCCCACTGCACACCATATTTGGTAACAGAGTCTTGACAAAAACAAGAAGAGTATTGAAAAGGAATAAAAAATTGGCTCTTCTCGCACTGACAAACACATGATGTTGGCTCAAGAACCACAGGTGAATAGGAGCACAAATTAGTCAAAGATACTGCTCTGTTAGTGCCATGGGACCAGAAGGAGAAAGGGGTACATTTCGAGTTCAAGTTATAGCTAGAAAGGGAAGACAAATTTCTCCCCTTTTTCAGTAAAGTGCTTTTAAGTGACACATTTTAGCATATGTTTAGTAAAAGGTCTAGTATCGTATCTGGCACACTTACAAATGGTATTTATGGATGTTTAAGAAAACAATCTGTCCTGTTACTAGTGAACGGTCCATAGGGGTGACAGTCGTACGTACCAAATCTGGCTTCACTCGGTAAGTCAGAGGAAAGGAGAACCACGAGGCATACAAGGTGGTGAGCACTGTGGACAGCCAGGACTGCTGAACCTCACGGCTTCTGGGAATACGGTGGATACAGTATTTGGGAAACTAGAAGGAAACAGCAAAAATCCAAATCAACTAGGCTGCTGACACCAAAGTTAAACATAGTAACAGTTAATACTGGAATAATAGGAAATGCTGCTTTCTTGATTATTTTAAATTTTCAATCTAACTATTTTTAAACTAAATTATAAGCCTTTTTCATGTTTTATACAACAGATATCATTGAGTTATGACAGAAAAGTTCCAAAATATAATTCAAAAATGTTAAAGTCAGTCTTGACAATAAGTTGGGGAAAATTTTCTATAAAATATATTTTAGGCAAAGAGCTTAACATGTGGATCTACAGAGTTCTTACAAATCAATATATAAGACCAATAACCTAGTTCCAAGATGGGTAAAGGAGATGAACTGATAATCCTAAACAAAAGAAACACAAACAGCCAATAAACATGAAAAAGGGTTAACAATTAAACACAAAAGAAAGCAATGAGTCATTTTTCACCTACCTGATTGACAAAGATTGCGGATACCCAGTGCTGTGGAGGTAAGGAAACAGACGTTTACGTTCCCTGGGCAAATACACTGGGAGAACTTTTTGGGAGAGCTATCTGGAAAGATCTATCAGCATATCAAGCATGTCTACTTTGGATACAGAATTTTTGCTTCCAGGAATATATCCCCGGATTTACCCACATGCTATCTACCATACCATTGTTTGTATTTGTGGAAATTGGAAACAGCCTAAGTACCCTCTAATAGGGAATGGAGAAGTTCATATAATAAAATACATGGAGCTATATTAACAAATAACATAGGTTTATATGAACATATATGAAAGATGTGCCAAGATAAGTGGTTTAAAGTGAATATGCAAGTTGCAGTACAGTATGTTTAATAGGAGCCAATGTGTATTAACAAATCACAAACACATGTGTGTTTGTATACACATATGTATACATACTAGTATTTGCATGGAGAAAATCTGGGACCATTTGCCACCAATTGTAAAAGGGGTGATATTATAAGATATTTTCAGCTTCCAGGTAATATGTATCTATTGAAACAAGCATGTATTGGGTTGTTGGAAAAGTCATGATGTATTTTTCTGTTTTTCGTTGCAAAAATGTATCATGACTTTTCCGACAACCAGTAATTATTACTTTCATAATCAAAGAAACCAATGTTTCTTCCTTGAATCAAAAAGTTCCAGGTGTATTTGTTATCTTTTCCTGAATAACAGATTACCCAACACTTAGCAGCTTAAAACAACTAATACTTTCTGTTTCTCACAGTTTCTGGGGGGTTAGGAATCCAGGAGTGGCTTAGCTGGGTTATTCTGGTATGGGGTTTCTCGTGAAATTGAAGTCAAGGTGTTGACTGGAGCTGCAGTTATCGGAAGGCTGGCCTGTGGCTGCAGGTGGCTCACTCACAGTGCTGGTTTCTGACAAAATGCCTTGCTTCTTTGCCACATGGACCTTTCCATAGGGCTACTTAAGTGTTCTCGTTACACAGCAGCTACCCTCCCCAAAAGCAAGGGACCCAAGGGGGGCAAGGCAAAAACTGCAATGTCTTTCATGACCTAACCTCAAGTCATACTTTGTCATTTCTAAAACCATCCTACTGATTAAATAGGTCAATCCTATTTAATACAGAAGGGACTACATGAGGGCTTGAATAGCAGAAGATGAGAATGATTGGGGGTTTCTTGGAGCCTGACAACCATACAGATTAATTGAGAGAGTAAAGGATTAAATATTTAACGCATTCCCCTCCCCATCCCCCTTTGTCTTGGAGGAACAATATGTTCCCTGAAAATAGAAAAGCTTTTCCTAAACTAGTGAACACACAACTACTGGTCCTAAATTTTTCAGCATTTGGACAAAGGCATGAAATTGTGTCTGGAGGCTTCTGTTATGCTCCAGGGGACATGAATGTAGTTCTTATACACAGAGCACACGTGACCACTCTGTTTCACATACGATGATAAAGGTTATTTCCTCCTCCTTCCATGTTATACCAGCGGAGAAGGAGAGATCTAGGCTCAGTGTGGTATTCACTATTTTTATTTATTAATCATTTATTAAATCAATGTTGTTTTTCCTTCAGGATTAGGATTAAGGTACTAAATGTTGAATTAGAAAATACTACATAGTTCTTAAACTATAAGACCATACAGGGAGCAGTAACAGAGCGAGGGCAAATCGTAAGGACTTTTGTTTGAGGTTTGTGCTTGCCTAGTTTGTGGAGATTATTAATTGAAAAACATGTAACAGGCAAATAGAACTATAGAGCCAAAATTCTTTATCAAAAACCATGTGGGTCAGAAGTGTTTTGAATTCATAATATCGTGCATATACCATATATTATATAATATCCTCTTTGAGTTTTGGGGAAATAACCAAACATATCAATATTTCTGCAGCAAAACATGATTATACACACAAAGTGAGATAAAGGCTACAAGCCTCAGGCCAATTCACATCAGGTGGTGCTGTCACAATAAACTGGTGACAAACTTGGAATTTTTTCCTTTCAGTTTTCAGAGCTTTTTAGGATTTCATATCAGAGATTGTGAACTTGTACTCAAAACACATTTGAATTCAATAAGATGTGCAGGCCAGTGGACAGGAACCTGGGGCCATCGTGCTAGGCACAGGGCTCAGATTATGCTTCACACTGAGAAGTTCGTGCTGGGGAATTCTATGTCCTATGTCACCTAAAGAAACACTGAGAGCCTGGCTGTGGCAAAATCTTGAGTTTTTATTATTTTATAGAGTTTTAGAAAATAATCAAATATATAAAAGTCAATGAAAAAAATTATCAATATGCAGCTTGTATTTTGGTCTTAACAAAAGTTCCTTTGAAGACAAAGGAATAGGACAGAGTTTCAGAGTTTCAGCTACAATCAGGACTGGCTATGACCCTGGGCCAGTCATTCCCAAGGGTTGTAGCATCTGGAGAAATCCAAATGAAGGTATCTTTATAGACGTTTTTGTTCCTCTGTACCTTTGCCTTGAAGGAACGGTCCCTGACCCTCTTTTATGTCTTATTATGGGATGCAGGACATAAAGAGTGCTTCATCCACCATGTTACCCTTGCCTCCAGATAAACATTTGGTTCAGAGTGACCACATGACAAGCAGGGTCAGTCTTTTCCTGAATTCTTAGAGAGACACAGGGGAAGTTCTTCCTTTTAGGGACACTGTGGGCTGCTAAACTGGCTCTCAATCCATTCTCCTGGAGCCGAGAAGTACATACATTTTTAAAATTGTTCCTCTATTAACTTTTGTATATAACAACTCACACTGAACTGTCATATTTGCCACCTAAATTTGCTATTCCTGCATTCTCAAGCCAGAAACTGACACATGAACAGTGGAATCTATTATAAATAGATTTCCTGCATAGATATGAAAATCTATGCTGGGGTTGGCAGGGATGAGGGTGGGGAACTGCCCCATTTTTCCTTCTTCCAAAACCTCTACTTACATTCCACATCTACCCACCTATTCACGTCCCTGCGACTCCCATGGTCCAAGCCATCGCCGTCTTCACCATGACTACAACAGCCTCTTAACTTGGCTCAACTTCTCCTCTTGTTCTCCTACCCTTTATTTTCTACAGAATCTCCAGAGCAAGCTTTTCATAATGCACAGAAGAACTTCCCTTTCATTCTCTTCCTTAAAACTCTCCAAAAGCTTACCAATCAATGCGTTTGGGATAAAATTCGAATTCCTTGCAATTGCCTCCAATGCTGGTGTTTCCAGCTCTAATGGCTCCTTGCTCACTCACTCCAGCCTCACAGGTCTTCTTCCTCCTCC